TTACATTTATGTCTCTTCCTCTCTACCTCAATCATAAATTTACATGTGACGAGTAGAGTTAGAAATGGTCCTAAACACATTATAAACACTTAGCATTCTAGGTAACAGACACAGGTAAAAAATATATTCCTCTGAAAAAACTTTATTTCAAAGGGGAAAATAATCACTGCTTTATACATGTTTAAAATAATGTGACTTTTTTTTTTTTTTGCTCAAGGAAAATGACATCATATTAATTATGTTTGAAACATTCAGGGTTTATATTACTAGACAAATTGATTTTCAGAAATTTTCTGAACATTTAGTTCAATTAGGTTTAAATCAAGAATGTTATCTTTCAGCTTGCTTAACATTTTTCATGGTAATAAAATTGCATTTAATTTAAGTGACATGCCTCCACATGAGTTTTTCATTTTGGTTATTCTATTAACTTTTTTTGTTCCATTAATATATGGCACCATTAATCAAAATTGAATTATATGATTAGTTATTAGTTTTAAAATTGTTTGATACATGTTGCCAAGGACTTCACTTGATTAATTCACTAATTCATTTCATATTTATAGCATACTTATCAGAGGTTACACTGCTAAATGCAAAAAGTATAACTATAATGAAATATAATAATTATTGGAGAAGCACTTACAGCCTTCTGGGGAAGAAAAGACTTGTAAATGTATATAGAATACAATGTATGAAGCACTGTAAGAGGGTTATACATAGGGTGCTCACTGAGTACTTCCCTTACACAGTAACATGTGAGTCAAGAAGGGATTTGGAAATTTCACTCAAAGTGAAGTATGTTATCTCATATGAACTCAGTGGTTAGATATGCTGTGTTGTCCAATACAGTAGCCATTAACAACATGTAGCTATTGAAATTTAAATTAATTGAAATTATATAAAATTAAAAATTCAGTTCCTTAGTCACACAAACCACATTTTAAGCTATAAGCTCGAAATAGCCACAGGTGGCTAGTGGCTACTATATTTGACAACTCAGATTATAGAACATTTCCATCATCACAGAAAGTTCTCTTGGACATTGCTACTTTTTTTTTTAAATTTTTTTTTATTGTACTTTAGAAGAAGGTTTACGGAACAAATAGTTTCTCATTAAACGGTCAGTACACATATTGTTTTATGACATTGGTTAACAACCCCACAAAATGTCAACACTCTCCCTTCTCGACCTTGGAGGAACTTTTTTTGTTTAGATGAAAATATACATAGCCAAAGTTACACCATTTCAAAAATTTCTACAGGTACAATTCAGTGACATCGATTACATTCTTCCAGTTGTGCTGCTATTCTCACTATCCTTTTCCCAATTATTCCATCACTATTATCTTCAACTCACTGCCCCCTAGGCTTCCCATCAAACCTTTTGAGTTGCTGTTGTCAATTTGATCGCACATAGATAATTTTTTTTTTTTGGTACCTTAGATGAAAGTTTGCAGAACAAATAGTTTCTCATTAAACAGTTAGTACACATATTGCCCTATGACAATGGTTAACGGCACCATGACATGTCAACACTGTTGAACAGTGCTACTTTATTTATCAATTCAAAATCTTATTAATGTTTGCATTTACACTATGCTTTATAATTTTTTTTTTATGCCAGGAAAAGCAATGAACTTTCTGGAAAACAGTTGTGGCCCAAGTTAAAATTTTAAAACAATAAGCTAGGTAACAAAGTCAAATCTCTTGTGTAAAATTCAGCATTGTGTATGATTTTCTAGTGAAGTCATTGCAACTGAGCACCTTTATTTTCAGAAGTGTCTTGCTTATCACTGCATCCTTAATATCTATTAAAGTGTCTGATATAGTCAAGTTGAACAATATGTATTTATTGATAGTTAAGGAGATTAATTCAATGAAAGAATGCTATATTCCTTGACAGTAAGTGAAATGAACAGAAGCAAGGGGTCATCTGCTGATGAAGAGATTATTTATGCCACCTGATATATTTCCTTTTCTGTTCACTTGCAAAAAAAGAATAGAATATTTGAATTGTAAAACAAAAAAGAAACCTTAAAGATAATTTGAATGGATTTTAAAGACAATGAAGCTCAACTTCCTTCTTTCTTTTAAACAGATGTGGACAAAAATATAGGCAGGCCCATAGTTAGCAGCAGATTGGAACTAGAATGAAGGTCTCAGAGGAAACTGTCATTCCTTTAATTGGTTCTAATTTAACATAAAAACACTAAGTTATGACAGAGTAAAGCTCTTGTATCTTGAGAAACATGTTACTATAGGGATTAAGGTATCAGAAATGATCTAGTGGCCCAGTCTTATTCCAAAATAAGGATTTATGATGCATCAGAAATCATGCTCCACTCAAATTTGTAAAGAAAATCAGGAACATATTAAGGCAGTTACTTATATCAGGAAAAATGTTTAGATAAGCGGTTCATGATAACAGTAGGGGACTAGAAGAAAGAACCAAATGTACTATTTTATTTCTTTAAACTTGTTTTTTGTGTACCATTTAAAAAATCTTCTGATTTTTAATGCTGCTATGTGCAATTATTTAAATAAAGTGTTCTTTCTTTAGGATGTGAAAGTGTGGGTTACTCTCAGTCAACTCTGTTTATGATAGAAAGTGAATCATGTGTTTATAACTGAGGTTCCTAACTTGGTTGGTGAGAGAAATCCCTACTTATAAACACAGTATCTAAAAGTAAATAAATTGGGCTTGTGATCCTAACCTTATAAAATAATTGCAAAAATTTCAAAGTGAAAAAAAATTATTCTCATTTTTTGTGAGTTCCTGATGAAGACCCAGGGTATTGGGAAGCATGATGGTATCAAGGCATGGAGGGCAGGCCATCTGAATATCAAGAAACGGCCATTTTCCTGAAATGTTGTTTTTCATTCATGTAATTACCCCTTGGAATAAAGGTGTTAATTTGAACTTGGTAGGCTTGCTACAATAGAAGACAATACAAAAGACTAGCTAGTCTGTCTGAGCAACTACTGAAGAGAACTAAGAAATTCAAGAGAGTGAAGTGCATCAGTTGGTTAGAGGCAGAGCAGTTCAAGGGTATGTCTACAAGAAAATGTAGGCTTGTTCTGCAAGTCAGTAAGTGGTCAAACGTTACAAGATCTAATATTGGAAGACACAGTGCTTGTACCATGATGGGGTTAAGCGTTTGCAGTCAGAAAGCTAATCTGGAGAAAACCCAAACCAAAAACCCATTGCCATTGAGTCGATTCTGACTCATAGTGACCCTATAGGACAGAGTAGAACTGCCCCATAAAGTCTCCAAGGAGTGGCTGGTGGATTCAAACTGCTGACCTTTTTGTTAGCAGCCAAGCTCTTAACCACTGTGCCACCAGGGCTCCAACCTGGAGAAGGAGTCTGCAAAGAACCTAGTATGCCTGCTTGTAGTGGAAAGATCCCATGGTGAGAAGTAGTGAGGAATGGCTCAAAGTTAGAGGAACTGACTTGCTATGCAGGAACGAGGGCCCTGGAAAGCACAATCTGGTGCAAAAGCAAAGCACCACTTTTATTCCCTCTCTAGTGGGGAGGCTGATGCACGAATGCCTACAAGCCTCTTCTTGTCTAGCGTTGTTTAGATGGGGGAGAGGAAAAGTGAGACACAGGTACAACTGGTACGTCTGCCTGAAGTGGAGACCTGAACTATGTCATAATGAACCACAGGGAGAACCATCTCACCCACAGTCCAGTATATATTTCTTGACATTATGGTTCAATGTTCAGTGTCCTTTTGCTTAAGGATTTAGCCAACACTTAGAAACGAACGTAGTGATGGTTTCTCTCATTGTAGTGTGTTCCTTAGAATGCCTTGGATTATTAACGAAAAATGATCAAATGGTAGGTTCTCATACTTCCAAATAAGAATTAGAGTATGCTGTAACCATGTAGAATATATGCTGATGATCATAAATCTGCTGAGCTTGTTTCTGAAAGTATAATTTACCAAGAATGCCAATATAAATGATGTTCTAGAAGCATTATTGGTGTGAGATTGTCTTATATGACATACTGTTTCCATTTATTAAATATGTGCATTTTAATGATAACAGTAAATTCATTTAATGATTTCCTTCCCTGAGTACAGGAAATTATGCTTTGGACTTGTGAGGGTGGATTATACCTTCAAATGACTTTGTTTGTTTATTGGTTTTTTATCAGGGAGAAGAGGATATTTATCATCCTTACCAATTTCATATAGAGTTCTATTTAAGGTTGCTCTTAAAATGTTGCCAGTTTCAACCTTTGTTTTAACTTCCTGTCTTCTCATAACTCTTACACATTAAGAAAAAGGACTGAAGACAAAACCCCATAGGTGATTCTTGAATAGTCATTCTGAAATATACTATATTGCTATAATTCTAGTCACTAAATACAAACAGAATTGGAAAAAAAAATACATGGGAATATTTTAAATTGTGTCTCACAATGAAAAACCAATCTATCGCAAACCCTGTAAAAAATGTGTAGATTTTCAATACTCTCCAATATAGAACCCATGGGATGACTTATTAATCTTTAGAGCCTGATAAATAAAGTAAAATGCTGCCAGAAGGCAGAACTCTTACCACCAAATCTCTATTGTCGCTGCCGTAGCACTTCAATTATTCACTTAAAGTGTTATATTTCAAACTCATCATTATGGATCAACCTGTTCTTATTTTAAGATGTTCTAAAATATTAAATCATTGGCATTTGAGGTAAAGCATTTATTTATTTTGTAATTACAACTGAAATATTATCACTGATATCCCTAAAATAAGCCATCTTAATTTCAACGAAGTTATAGAGCATGTTTTGGTCAAGAGCAACCTTATGAATGTGAAGCTTATTTCATTAGAAATTTCCCCCAGAGTCAAGACAAAAACACTGATAATACATATTGAATATTTTCTAATTGTAGTCATATTAGGAATCAAAACATTTTGCTAAATCATACCAATTTCGGTTGAAAATTAGAGTTTAACGAGGTAGATGTGGAATTGGGACTTACCCCTATCTGTGTCATACAGGAAAACAAAACAGTTCCATTCGTAGTGATCCAGCAGACTCAAGAGTGCTCCTCGTAAGGAAGGCCTTAACTGCAGCACGAACTGGCTCTCCCCCTCAGTAGGGAAGCTTGGTGTAATGAGGGAGATGTGTAAGGCGCTGCAGAATGAGGTCAAGGTATGTACAGACCTCTTATCATAGAGTCCAAAAATGGCAAAAACTCCTCTAGAATACTGGGAACAGACTGAAAAAAAGAAAACACAAAAACACAAACTATGAGCATACTCTAAAATTATTGATTTCAGTAAAAGTCTACAGTCTTTGAAATTTAAAAAAAAGAAACACCAAATCATTGCTATGTCAGGAATATAAAGTGAAAAGTGCAGCATAAGTGATGTTTAGTCATAACTTTGGTTGACCTCTTCCTTCGCTTAGTGCTCGTTTTTATTCCCATCTCTTGCTCTCAGCTTAAAGTTTTACTCGGTGCTCAAGCACATTAACACAGTAAATGATCAATTAATGAATTCTTGAGCATCTACAAAAGCCTGACATTGAGTGAGATAACAAGGGGCTATAATATTTCTTTCACATGAAGCCAGTCTGGTAAAAGGGAAAATTGACTAAAATGAAATAATACATGGCATTACATGATGATGTGACAAATTCTATGGTTTGGTGGAAAAAGTCCAAACGTGGGTGACTTTTTCTAATTTATATTATAAAAGATAAGAAACTTCAATGGGAGCTTTTTTAAAAGTTTGTTTGTTTATACAGTAAAGCAAGCTATTTGAATTTCAAATTTTTCTAGTTATTAAAAAAAAAAAAAAAAATCCGTTGCCGTGGAGTCAATTCCGACTCGTAGCAACCCTATAGGACAGAGTAGAACTGCCCCATAGGTTTACAAGGAGCGGCTGGTGGATTCGAACTACTGACCTTTTGGTTAGCAACCACAGCTCTTAACCACTGTGCCACCACGGCTCAAACTTCTAGTTGTCATGTACGGCTAAAGGTCTCATTTCTTTTTTTCTTTTTTCCATTCAAAAATTTTATACATAATTGTTTTGTGACGTTAGTTGCAATTCCCCCAGTGAGTCAGCACTTTCCCCCTTTCCCTTTCCACACTGGGTTCTCAGTGTCCATTCGTCCAGTTTTCCTGTCCCTTCCTGCTTTCTCGTCTTTGCTTTCGGGCAGGTGTTGCGCATTTGGTCTCATATACCCGACTGAACTAAAAGCACATTCCTCACGTGTGTTACTGTTTGTTTAATACGCCTGTCTAATCTTTGTCTGAAAGGCGGACACTGGGAGTGGCTTCAGTTCTGAGTTAGCAGGGTGTCTGGGGGCCATAGTCTTGGGGGTTCCTCCAATCACCGTTAGACAGTAAATCTGTGTTTTTTTTTTTTTAATGAATTACAATTTTGTTCTATATTTTTCTCCCACTCTGCCCATGACCCTCTATTGTGATCCCTATCAGAGCAGTCAGTGGTGGTAGCCAGACACCATCTAGTTCTTCTGGGCTCAGGCTGGTGGAGGCCGTGGTTCATGTGGTCCATTAGACCTTTGGACTAATATTTTCCTGTCTTTGGTTTTCTTCAATCTCCTTTTACATCCCTGGTTAGATTTAGTACTAAATATTTTATCTTTTTAGGGTCTATTATAAATGGTATTGTTTTCCTGATTTCAAAGTTCTCTTTGTTGGTGTATAGGAATCTAACTGATTTTTGTATGTCATTCTTGTATCATGCTACTCTGCTGAATCTATTACTTTCAGTAGTTTTCTTGCAGAATATTTGGGGTTCTCTATCAATAGGAACATATCATCTGCTAATAGGGATAGTTTTACTTCTTTCTTTCCAATGTGGATACCTTTATTTCTTTTTATTGCCTTGTTGCTCTGTCTAGGACTTCCAACACAATGGTAAATAAGAGCGGTAAAAAAGGTATCCTTGTCTTGTTCCCGTTCTCAGGGGGAATGCTTTCAGCCTCTGTTGAGAATGAACTTGGCTGTTAGTTTTGTATAAATGACCTTTATTATGCTGAGGAATTTCCCTTTTATTCTTATTTTATTAAGAGTTTTCAGCAGGAATGGGTGTTGGACTTTATCAGATGCCTTTTTTGTGTAGATTGAGATGACCAGGTGATTCTTTTGTTTTATTTATGTGGTGGATTACACTGATTGATTTTCTAATGTAGAACTATCCTTGCATATCTGGTATGAATCCCACTTGGTTGTGGTACGGTATTTTTTGGAGATGATGCTGAATTCTGTTGACTAGAATTTTGTTGAGAATTTTTGCATCTATATTCATGAGAGATATTGATGTGTAATTTTCTTTTTTTGTGGTGTCTTTGCCTGGCTTTTGTATCAGGGTTATGCTGGCTTCATAGTATGAATTTGGGAGTATTCCTTCCTTTTCTGTGCTCTGAAATAGTTTGAGTAGTACTGGTGTGAGATTGTCTCTGAATGTTTGGTAGAATTCTCCAGTGAAGCCATCTGGGCCTGGGCTTTTATTGTTGTTGTTGCTGGAAGTTGTTTTTTTTTTTTTATTTTTTTATTTTTAAATTACCTCTTCAATCCCTTTTCTTGTTCTGGGTCTGTTCAGATTTTCTATCTCAGTTTGTGTTAGTTTAGGTAGGTAGTTTGTGTCTAGAAATTTGTCCATTTCCTCTAGATTTTCAAATTTGTTGGAATATAATTTTTCACAGTATTCTCTTATGATCCTTTTTATTTCAGTTGGGTCTGTTGTTATGTCCCCCTTCTCATTTCTTATTTGGGTTGTTTGATTCCTCTTTTGTTTTTCTTCTGTCAGTTTGGCCAGTGGTTTGCCAATTTTGTTCATCTTTTCAAAAAACCAACTTTTGGTTTTGTTGATTATTTCTATTGTTTTTCTGTTCTCTATTTCATTTATTTCTGCTCTAACCTCTATAATTTTCATTCTTCTGGTGGCCATGGGCTTCTTTTGCTGTTCTATATTTGTTCAACTTGGAGGACGAACATTTGATTTTGGTCTGTTCTTCTTTTTTTGATGTGTGCATTTATTGCTATAAATTGACTGCTGAGCACTGCCTCTGCTATGTCCCAAAGGTTTTGGTATGACGTGTTTTCATTCTCATTTAATTCTAGGAATTTTCCTATTCCTTCTTTTATTTTTTTTATTGCCCAGTTGTTTTTAAGCAAGATGCTATTCAGTTTCCATGTATTTGATTTTTTTCCTTGATCTTCCTGTTATTGAGTTTACTTTTATAGCATTGAATTAAATGCTTTGTATTATTTAGATGATTTAGATTTTACTGAGGTTGCTTTGTGGCCTAAAATGTGGTCTGTTCTAGAGAATGTATGGAACATGTGCATTGGAAAAGAATGTATACTTTGCTGCTGTTGGGTGGAAGGTTCTATACATATCTCTGAGGTCAAGTTGTCTGATTTTGGCCTTTAGATATTCTGCATCATTGCTGAGTTTCTTTCTAGATGTTATGGAACTGTTAATTTCTCTTTTCAGTGCTGTTATAGTTTGTTTTATGTAATTTGAAGCCCTGTTGTTGAGTGTATAAATATTTATTAAAGTTATGTCCTCTTGGTAGATTATCCCTTTAATTATTATATAATGTCCTTCCTTGTCTTTTATGGTGTATTTTGCCTTCGAGTCTATTTTATCTGAAATTAGTATTGCCACTCTTGCCCTTTTTTGTTACTGTTTGCTTGATATTTTTTTCCCCACCTTTCGACTATTAATATATTTATGTCTCTGTGTTCCTAGATGTGTGTCTTGTAGATAGCATATTGATGGGTTGTGCTTTTTTATCCATTCTGCCAGTCTCTGTCTGTTTACAGGTGCATTTAAGCAATTTACATTTACTGTGATTATCAATAGTATGAGTTTATTGCTGTCATATTGTTGTGCTTTTTTTTTCCCTCCACAGTGCTGATGTTTTCTTTGTTCTTCTTGCTTTCCTGTGCTGAGTTTCTTTCATTTGTGGATTTTCTTTTCTTTCACTATCATGGATTTTGTGTTTACTGAGACTTTATGTGTTTCTTCTTTTTTATTCTGATGAGTAGGTTTGTAAGTTTTCTTTGAGGTTACCTTGAGATTTACCCTTATCTTCCTAGGTTTGAACCAGTCTTTTATTACTTGATATTGCCTTGACTTCCTCTACGTTTGAAAGTTCTATACCTACACCTTTTATTCCCTTTTTTATTGTTTTGACATTGTCGTCATTTACAGATTGATGTCTCTGTTTCCCTGTTTTAAGTTTTTTTAGCTTTGTTTTATTATTGAGAGTTCTTTACCTAAGTTGGTAGCAGGCTGGTGCTGTTCTGTGTCCTAGACTCTGGTTGTCTGATGTTACTGGTTCTCTAACCAAAGGACTCCCTTTAATATTCTTGTAAGTTTGATTTGGTTTTTACAAATTCCCTTAATTTCTGTTTATCTGGAAATGTCCTAATTTTACCATATTTGAGAGAGTTTTGTAGGTTATATTATTCTTGGTTAGTAGTTGTTTTTTTCTTTCAGTGTTTTATATATGCCATCCCATTGCATTCTTGCCTACATAGTTTCTGCTAAGTAATCAGAGCTCAGTCTTATTGTTTCCCCTTTGCAAGTGACTTTTCATTTTTCTCAAGTTGCTTTCAGGATTCGTTCTTTGTCTTTGGTTTTAGTGAGTGTGATTATAATATGTCTTGGTGACTTTCTTATGGAATCTATCCTATATGGGGTTCACTGAGCTTCTTGGATAGTCAGATTTTTATTATTCATGATATTTGAGAAGTTTTCTGTCAGCAAATCTTCAACAATCTTCTCTGTGTTTTCCATTTTCTCTCTCTATTCTGGAACTTGGACCACGCACAAATTTTTGCCCTTGATTATGTCCCACATAATTCTTAGTTTTTCTTCATTCTTTTCTCTGATTTTCCCTTAAACAAATTGGCATCCATGAATTTGTCTTCATTCTCACTGATTCTGTCTTTCATTGTTTCAAATTTGCTCCTAAAACATCCATTGAATTGTCCATTTCTAAAATTTGGTTGTTTATCCTTTGAATTTCTAGTTGCTGTTTTTGTATGATTTCTAATTGTTTATTTTGATATTTTGTTTTTGTATTACTTCCCTGAATTCTTCTATTGCTTTGTCTGTGTTTTCCATGATTTTGTTTATCTTTTTCCTTGGTTTTGTCTGTGTTTTCCTTGATCTCTTTCTAACCTCTTGGAGAGCCCTAAATATTAGTCTTCTGAATTCTGTATCAAAGGTA